CTTCCTGGATTAATCAGCGAGGGAAGCATTATCAAGAGGTTCATAAGGTGCACCACGGAGATGGTCTAAAACAGTGTTGATATTCCATGCGGACGAAACTTCAACTTCTGGTCTTCAAGTCTGAATGAACGAAGCATGGCCTGTAATTCTGGGATTTTTTAAATCCTTCTGTCAGTGGGAACTGCTTAAACGGAGCTAATTGCCGCCAAATACGTGGCAATGGTGCCTCCCTTCAGACCCCTGGACGTTCGGAGATAAAGTAAGAAGTCTGCTATGAACTGAGGAGACACTTTCAGCGGATCCTGCTTCCTGGTAACACAAAATCGTTCAAACGACTGCCACGTGTCGTCATACAAATGTATAGTAGAAGTTCTGTGCGCCGTTGCAATGGCTTTGGCTGCTCTGGCCGAAATCCCCTTAGCACTCAGTGCTTTCTGCAAAAAGTCCATGCGTGCAGATTGAACCGATCTGGAGCAGGATGCGGAAGATGGCTGTGAGAGTGCACGAGAACGTTCCTCCATGTGGGTAGAGGGAAGGGATCTCCTGCCACTAGACATTTTAGAACGGGAAACCAGTTCCTGGCCAGCCACCAAAGCGAAACCAAAATCAGTCGTAGGCAAGTTGTCTCCTTAACTTTTGCGAGAACTTTGGGTAATGGAACTGGTGGCAGAAACAAATATGCATGAAGCCCCTCCCACGATAGGCTGAGAGCATCCACCGCCCAAGCCGCTGGATCCGGGACTGGGGACACATACACTGGCAGTTGATGGTTTTGGCTGGTGGCAAACAGATCTATGTTTGGAGAACCCAGTGCGTGACTTAGGAGAGTGAAGGCATCCTTGTGTAGCATCTATTCTGTGGGAGCAACTCTGTCGGGTCTCGAGAGTGCGTCTGCTAGTATATTGCGGCACCCCGGAAAATGCCGAACTCTCAACAGAATGTGGAGATCGTCGACCAGTTGAAAGAGCCGAAAAGTCTGATCGAGAAGAAACTGCGAGTATGTCGATTTGCCCAGTGATGAATAGCGAGGATCACTGCCTCCAACTCCAGACTGTTTATATGCCAGTTTATGAGTTGAACCGACCAAAGGCCGGCGGCTGTCTGGTCGTGTAAGTGAGCGCCCCAACCCTGCATGGAGGCGTCCACGAACAGTTGGCAATCCGGAGACCGCTCTGTCAAAGAGACTCCTTCTAAGACATTCAATGGGCGAGTCCACCAAAGAAGATAGCGATGTAACTGAGGTGGAAGACAAAACCGTTGATGAACGTCTGCCTGACGTATGGTTCAGAATGTATGGTTGAAGAAAGCGCTGCAGAGGACGAAGTTGAAGACGCCCTCTGCTGGTAAGATCCTGCGCCGACGTCAACAATGCCAGAAGTGCCTGCCACTCTCGGAGAGACAGAGGTTCGGAGAGCGCACGTGGAATCAGAGACTGAATCTTGTCCCACCTGTCCAGAGGAATCTGAACTAGGTTCTTGTCCGTCTGGAAATGGCCTCTGATGAATGTCAGAGTGTGAGACGGGACAAGCTCCGATTTGTCCAAGTTGACCAGCCAACCTAGTTGGCACAACAGACGAAGGGTGAAATCCCATTGTTGTATAAGAAGCAGACAGTCTAACAGGTGCATAAGGCAATCGTCCAGGTACGGGTCGAAATTGATGCCCCTCAAATGAAGATACCGGGAAATAGGAGTTGTGATACGCGTGAACAACCACGGGGCCGTTGAAATTCCAAATGGGAGGACAGCCCATTGGAAATGTTGATTGTTGAAAATAAAGCACAGGAACTTCCTGTATTCGAGGGATGTCATTCAGAAGAGCGGAGGACGTTCCAGGAAAGTCTCATTGAAATAGGACAGATTGTGAATCATCCTCATTTTCGTGGACCCTTTCTTCGGCACTAAAAATATTGGGGAATAAAACCCTGGTGTTGTGACGGAATACAGGAGTAATTCGATGGCTCTTTTCTCCAACAAAATCGCTATGTTCTCCACTTAGAGGTCGTGTTGAAACTGGGAGTGATTGTGCCGGAGCGGGAACAGCGTCAGAGGTGGATCGGAGAGGAGGGGGAGCCGAAACCCCTGCCTCAATATATCGGTGACGTATGGATCCTCTAGGATGGACCAATTTTCCCAAAAGATCCCTATTCTCCCACCTACCAGTGTAGAATAAACTGGGAAGACTGGAGGTGGGAGTGTCCAGTCATGCGTGTCCCTCACTTCACTTGCCCATACGCCCGTCGCCCTGGGCGGGAGCACGGCAACATTGATATCCTCCCCGTCTGATCTAGGCTTGGCACCACGTCCCCTGCCACGAGACGGCGCTGAGTTTCTGGCATGCTGAACAGACGGTCGCCGAGGCTGGTGGGTGTTGGATGGCGTGGAGGAAGGGAGTTGTCCCTTTTGAAAAGCTTTCAAGGCAGTCTCCCCTTTGGCAAATTCACACACCTCCAGATAAATGTTATGAATGGCATCGTTAAACAGTGACGACGATGACCAGGGTTGGTGGAATAATTTCTGCTGAAACTCCGAATCCAATGAAGAAAAGGAGAGGAAGCCTTGCCAACGAATTACGCACGCGTTGGCAAGCGCCGACCTAAGGTGCTCACGCAGGTCAGTGAGCACTTTGCCCTGCCATAGCATCATAGTTGTGAGATGATCCAGTCGATCCAGATTTAGTTCCTTAAGATCCTGAGTGATGGCATAAGTCGATGACGCCAATGCCGATATAGGGCGGTGCATACGCTTAAGTTCTAAGTCCAAAGCCGCAACCCTTGTGTCCTGAACTTTATAGGAGACAGAGGAATAGCCTGTCACACATTTCATTTCCTCATCCACCTTAGTCACTGTCTGGGCAAATTCCAAGCCATGAATAGGATAGTCATCACGCCGGACACTAGGCGCTTTAATAGTTGGGTTGAGAGACATCCCCGCGAAATCTTCATCAAGTGTAGAGAGAATCTCCCTGACCGCCTCATGTGTTGGCAACATTAAGGAAGGCAAGTCCCAAATAGTAAGCGACTTTGCAACATCAGGTCCAGGTGAAGGGACTGAGGCTATTTAACAATCAGCAATCCAGTCAAACACGTGATCAAAGCCAAGGTGATTAGAGCCCATGTCTTCCTCATAGTCTGGGGCAAAGTCTCTCTCTGAGGACAGTGAACGAAACGGCAAGGGGGAACGGCTACGTGCAGACGATGCCTTATAAGAAGACGCCCTGCTCCGAGGTCTCGACCTATGGTTGCCTGCCAAAGCAACGGAAGACGTTGGAGTAGGCACAGGAGCAGACACAGTAGACAGGATAGGCACCGATGCTGGAGGAGGCAGAGGTGCCGTAATCGTCGGAGGTGGCAAAGGTGTCAAAGGCGCTGGAGGAGCTGTAGGGGGGAGAGGCGCCGATGTTGCTGATGGCATAAACGGCATAGGCGCTGATGTGCCGGTTTGACCTGATAGTAAAGTCAAGAGAGTGCTGAGCGTGGACACATCAAACTGCTGGTGGCCGTATGGTGTCTGCATCATAGACGCCTGAGGTATTGGAAACCCTGTAGATGGTTGATACGCATAAGGCACCTGCCCAAGGAACACTGGAAAGGACTGCAACACAGGAGCCTGGGGTGTCTGACATGGCGTAAACTGCTGACCCATCGGTCGTTGCGGTGACAGGCGCCGACGGTCCAAGCGACGAAGAAGACTTCCCATCCCTACAATGTATATAACTTGCGCTGTACATTGGTCTGCAATAAAGCAGAAAACCCAGTAAACGCACATTAAAACATTACATACAATAGTAATGAATATAACAGCATAATTGAGAACAAAGTCTCAAAACAACTGAAAGTTAAAGAGACCATAATACAGGCACAATAAATATACCACTATTATATGGTATAGTATATAAGCCTGAACCAAATAAAACACAACGACTATCAAATACGGCAAAGTGTTGTAATGGCGAAGTGAGAGAGTGATGACGGGAACCGTGTATAAACGAACGACATCACTACACAGAACTACTGAACTAAAATGACAAGAGAAAGTGAAATATAATACCTAGACTTCTCGTACAGGACAAAAACAAAAATACACACAAAGTCAGTCTTTATTAAGCTTCACAAAAATAATCCTGTAGGATACAAGTAGAGCTGGCAATCAACACGTCTAACGAGGCGTGCGAAAAGCAATAATCTGAGGTGGCTGACATCACCTTCCGGTGACGCATGCGCAGATGAGTAGCAGCCGAGACCAGGAAGTGATTGCAGTTCTACGTCTTTTGACATCGTCTGGCAAGCCACGCTTTGCGAGCCATAAGCAATATGTGCAGGAAGTAAGTAGTGCAGGATTAGTTAAAAATTCTGCATCTCTGGAGACAGAAATGGCCCAAAATGAAGTGGCCAGGCATTTTGGTGTCCATCCAAACACGATTCCATCTCTATGGAGTCATTTTCAACATAATGGGAACCATGAGATTTGCTTTGGACCAGCCATCCATGCATGACTTAACGTCCAGCAAAGCAGCCACCTTTTACTTTACCAGCATACTCATCTGAACCCTCACGTTTGAAACTGACACATCACTACTTGTCATCAGCATAGTGATGCTGTCTCAGGCCGTGGTCTATGAATATATCATCATTCATCTCCCATTAATAATCACCAGTTATCATGACTGACTGTATTCTTTAAACCACTGCTATTTCAATTAGTACTGCAATTGTAATTGTACTACCAGTGAAGTTTGTACTTCCATGCTATTGCGCACTACCATTGTAATTCCTTGCAGTAATTTGAAATAAATTATAAACCTAGATATTTTCAGAATACAGTTGTTAACTGCATTACATTTGTTTCTTGTTTATTGGTTTTGCACTAAATTCTTATGCAAACTGACTTGGGTAAATATATTTCTTCAACATGGTTATCAACATGTAACACTAGTAGACTGGAATCCTTCATACTGGCAACGTTTTGAATACATCATGTTACTTGACTCCTACTGCATCACCTTTCTCAGCATGTTCAGGATGGTATCGGAGCAGTGTTTCTGTGCACAGAACTTTAGGTGGGCTGTGAGTGGGGTCAGCAGCAGCTGCTGCTGCAGCGGAGGAGGAGATGTGTGTCCTTGCTGCTGCTGCCTGTCTGGTTACTGGTGGTTTCCGGGGAATGGCTGCTCCATGCTTCCTCGCTGGTTTACGGATCAGTGGTGTGCCAGCTGGGAACTTGTTGTGAATGACACGGTTGGAGACTGATGGTCTGGAGACTGCCATGGTGGTGGCTGCTCTGGAGACGGAGGTGATGGTGGGTGGTCTTGACATGACGGTGGCGGGTCTAGGACTGTCTCGGGAAGATGTAGGAGTAGCAGTCTGCGACTTAGAGATTGTCTTCAGTGACTTTTGCATGGGTTGCTGGAAATAAAAAAGGTCCAAAATTAAGCGCCATTCTTCTAAACCTTGAAATACCATAAACAACATAATTTAAAGTATCTTGCATTTGTAATCAGCGATTGGTACAGAAACCTATTCTTTGGCTGCAGATGCATTTTTGTAGATAAAAAGTGACACATTATGAACTTGTTAGCTTACTTGTTAGTTAGGCATCAAAATGTAATTTTCTGAATAAAATTGATATTTTATACTTATCCTGACTCATGCTCTTTTGCTTGTCTTCTTCTTCTTGTGAACATAGTGGAACACTTGTATCTCCTATTGATGCTCCCTTCAATAAAGAATAGACGTAAAATCACTCCTACCAAGAGTTATCTCTCCAGCCGTTTAGGCGGGAAACTGTGGCGCCACCGTGCCCACATGCCTCACTCTCTCCTGATTATGAGCCCGACACTTGAATTTGCAGGGAAATCCAAAGTGTCTAGTGGGGAGGCTGGGTGGGCTTACCTCATGAGTCAGGGTAAGTATAAAATATCAATTTTATTCAGAAAATTACATATTTTTCCTTATCCTGACTCATGCTCTTTTGCTTGTAGAATCTGACGGAAAAGGTGGTGGGAAAAGCACTTTAGGATTTCTTTAGTGAATTTTACGTCATTATATACCCCCCTACGGGAACCATTAATGGCACTGTATTTACTGGTAAACTCTGCTGCTGTTGCGACCCTGACCTTCCAGCTGCCTTTAAAGGGGGGGACCACAATAGTAAACTTTTGGTCCTTTCTTCTGTTAACATTTTATGTGGATTTTGCGACTCTATCTCTTGATGCAAGCACCAAGTGGAGAAGCGACCCATTCCGGTACAAGTATCCTTACAAGTACTGGGTCATATCACTTATGCTAGTTGTTAGGCGTGCATTGTGACTTAAGCAGAACTCCGCTGAGTGTAAGCATAGTAAGTCATCGCGATAAAAGGGCGAGACTTTGTCTCAAGCCTTAGTGGGACTGTCAATTGTTGTGTTACAATAAGTGGGCGAAATGGTGAATGTAAGAGCCGTCCTCAGTGGCGATGTCCCTCAAGTGGTGGTTGGCAAACACCATGTCCCATTTCCAGAAGCAGCCCTCCATTATCGTCCTGATAGAGCGATTCCCAAGTATAGAGAGCGTTGCGTCAGAGCTCTCACTTCATGTGGGTTGGAGGTTCTTGGAGGATCCAGTCCTGCTGCTTTGTAGGTCCGTAGGATGACAGTTCTGATCCAGCTTGAAATCTTAGTGCAGAAGACCTTCGTCTGTGCCGCTGTTGATATCGAGAGGAAAAGACACTTGAATTTCCGTCTCATGGACCTGGATCGTTGTAGGTAGACTTTCCATGCTTTTGGGCCAAGGATGCTCGTATCCTGGGCACTGATGATAGTGTTGGGACGTGGAAGGATGGAAGACCTGGCAGTTGATCCTGTGGTCCCATCTCAGGGCACGATATTTGATTTGATCAAAGTGTCAAATCCAGGGCATGTATTTCCGAACTTGTGCTGTCTCTGGAACAGCGCCTTCTGCGTCAAGAACTCTAATGAGGTTCGTAGATGTCACTAGTGAGATGTCGTAGAACAACGCTGAGGTCCCATACCGAAGCTTTAAATCTCTGATGTTGGTCCTCCAATTAAAAGGGCATACTAAGGCCAGTAACTCTGGTACTTTTGTCAGTTGCACTCGTCCTCATGACGATAACTGATCTCAATGCCGCTAGGTATGTTGAGAATGTTGACCCTTTTAACCGCTTCCTTTGTCTAGGTGACAAAGGTAGTCCGCCACTTGAGGATGTGTCACTCTCATGGCTGTGAAGCCGTCTTGAAACGTATCTTTTGTCTCGAAGCGTCACCACTTGTCGTCAGACAAGTTGCATGAAGACTTGCGTAAAGCTAGTGTGACTGCTTTCGCTGCTCTGGCGAAATATCCTCTCTTGTTCAAGCATGCCTGATACAGTCCACACGTGTAGCCGGAACACCTCTGGGTTGCCATGCGCCTGCTTTGTGTGAAGATGTACTAGTAGATTCGTACACTCTGGTAGTTGCAGTAGAGGCAGTCCTAGGTCTTGTATGAGAATAGGAATTCATATTCTCGCTGGTCAAAAGGCGTGCCCCAAATAGTTGTGGGTCTCTCACCTGACTGATTTCTGTAATACCCTAGGTATTAGAGCTGGTGGAGAAACACTTAAGTGTTTAGTCCTAGGCAGGAGATGCTTCACATGTCCGTTGCCCCTTTCCGTGGATCTGGTTGAAGATCTCTGAATGTAGCATCCAGTCTGTTGAGAATGGCTGCGTTGGACAGGATAGTGTATCTGCTAACACATTCTTGGTTCTTGGAATGTGGCATACTCTGCTGTGGACAGTCAGGTTGACTGTTATGCTGATCAACTGAAAGCAGAGGTCCAGAAGGTTAGCCAACTTTGTTGATCCTACTGTGGATGTAGACCGTCACTGTGGAGGTGACTGTGTGTACCGTTAGATGAGCTTATTATAAAAAAGCTGATCCGGTGGAGTATGGCGTTTATGGCTGCTTTCATTTCCAGCATATGGAAGTGCAGATCGTCTCTGCTATGGTCCATATCCCAGCTGACACATTGTTGACAAGGTGTGCTCCCACTCTAGGAGAGATGCGTCCCCTAGAGATGCGTCTTGTACTGCGACCCCGCTAATTAGGTGCGTCTGCAACCCTCCTCGCACGGAGTTCACCATATATAGATATGGGTTATAACCTTTCCGGATCGTCCGGTTGTACATTCATGAAGACCAGTAGTGGGCGTAGTTGTTGGACAAAAGGATTGTCCACATAAATGTATTGTTCATTCGTTGTACTGATTTATTCACTACTGTTAACCAGACAGGTTATTAGGTTTCAGTTTGTGTACATACGAACAGTTCGCGAAAACACACCTGACAACAACTTACTTCGCGGAAAGCTCGAGCATGAAAAAAGCATGCGTTTTCGCCACGTGTGGAGCTCGAAGGGAAATTGTAGTTAGTTCGTTTCGATATGTTGATAAGGCAGCACGCCTTGAGATAGTTCGTTAGTGGTAACCATTTGGGTGTTAGATTGTTTGACAGAGGTTTAGTGTAATAGAAACTTAGGAATGTAAGATATTGTAAAAAGGTAATAAAAGGTAAATTAAAACAAATATTAGATTCTGATTTAGTGGTTTTGTTTGATATCACAACTAGTACAGTTCCTGCTGACCAAAATGGTAGCAGGCGTGGTTTATCGTGGTGTCTTAAGTGGTTAGTTAAGTGGTTTATTAGTTGTTGCACATGGTTATTGCCTGATGGTGGTTCATGGTGTTGCAAGTTAGAATTAGTTTGGATGCAGGAATTGTTCTAGTCTGTGAAAGGTAAGTTAGCTGATAGAAAGTTTGTTAGGTTAGTATTAAAAAACAAAGAATAATAATGTCAGAACCTAAACAGGTAAGTCCAGATGAAACGAATTTAATAAAAACGGAAACTAAGCCGGTCCCTGATCAAAACAGTCAGTCGAGGACAGTCGTTGAAGATGTTTTGATAAAACTTAAAAGCAAAAAGCCAGTGCAAAGTCTGCTTTCACGAAAGCTAGAAATAAACTCTACAACATGACCGAGGGTCAGAATGTTCAAACTTCGTAGGGCTGTTAGAAATCAAATGGACCAATTGTGCATTGTGCAAGATCATGCAATGGAAATAATGATAAAACTGTCAGAAGAATATTCAAAATCAATGATGTAGCAAATGTTAAAAACATTAGCATGGAAATAACTAGGCTTGAAGATGAAAATGACAGTGCACAGGCACATGCTCAGCAGTACTTAGACTCTAGATCAGATGCTAGTTCTGCACTTAGTTTAAGGACAGGGATGTCAATGCTGTTTAGTAAGTGATCAAGGCAATAGTAAAGAGCAAGGTTTACCTGGTGAACAGAAGCCAACTAAACAGGGTAAAACAAGACCCACAGTTAACAAAGAAACTGCAGGAAATGAAGATGAATTTGATCAACCAAGCGTCATGTTAAATGTCAATCCACACTATGAACACAGTACACACACAAATATCCCGGATCAAACCGCTAAAGGTGCAATAGGGCGTGACATGTGGAGGCAGTTGGGTAGAGTTACTATTCCAGTGTTTGCTGGCGATGTTAGATCATTATCAGGGATGGAAAGCAGCATTTATTGCATGCATTGATAATTCACCAGCAACACGAATACAAACTACTGCAGTTGCGTCAGTATTTAGCAGGGGAAGCTTAGAGTGGTTAAAGATTTGGGACATAATGCAATTGCTTATCAGAATTAAGCTCTTGAAAGACTTGAGAGAAAATTTGGCTGCAAGAGGCGACAGATTGCATTACATCTTGCAGAAATAGACAATTTCAAACCCATTCGACCTGGTCATGCAAAAGACCTAGATAGATTTGCAGACATGCTTGATGTAGCTGTAGTTAATCTTCGCGAATCTGACAGGGTTGAAGAATTAGGAAATGGCTTACTTTATATGAAGTTGCAAACAAAGATGACTGAGGCCATGGTTACAGAGTATCAGCGTTGGGTATATGATAGACAAAGGCAAGAGTCAGTTGAAACTCTCAGAGAATGGGTGCTCCAGAAGCAGAGTTTCAAACTATTGCAGCTGAGACCATTAAGTGGTGTCTGTGATAAGTCAGTAAAATCAGAGTACAAACGAGCTCCTCGTACATTTCTAGTGCATGATAGTAACCAGAATCCTGGTACACACTATGTTGGTGAGAAGTACTTGTGCAGAGTATGTACAGAGCCTCATGATGTATGGAACTGTAGAAAGTTCATCACTTTAAAAGTTCAAGATAGATGGAACAAAGCAAAGGAGTTAAATCTTTGCTTCCGCTGCCTCGGAAGCAATCATCGTGGTAAACACTGTTGGCGAACAACGTTGTGTGGAATAGATGGATGCACAAGCAACCACAACAGGCTCTTGCATGTAAATAGGGACAGGGTTCATTCAGCTGTCAGAGCTGAAAAGGGT